GAGTTGTGGTGGCGGCGGTCTGAGAGGAGCTGGGGAAACGGAGAGACTATGACTCAAATATACTGTATGAAAATGTAAAAAGTAATTACAAAAGTAAAAACTCCTCTATAAGAAATAGGGTGTGCTAGATGCAATCTGCAATTGGCATCCACTTGCAAAGGAAAAATTAGCTTTCACCTAGGAGTCTCACTGGATATATTAATCACAATTAAGAGCAGGCCTCATGCCCAGCAGTAGATTTCCAACACAAAATGAACTCTATGGTATTTTTGCAGACCTTTTGTCTCATATTGCTTTTGTTTGGGCTTTTTTTTTTTCTTTTTGTCTTATCGTCTTTTGCTTGTATATTATGGTTTCCAACTTTGTGGTTTTTTTGGGGGTGTGTGTGTCTGTGTCTTGTGCTTTTCCTTTCTTTTTATTTTGGTTGTTGCTGTTGTCTTTGTTTGCCTGTTTGTTTTCTAAAAAGAGAAAGGGTGTGGAGTTGGGTGGGCGGGGAGGATGGGGAGGAGTTGCAGAAGGGGAATCCATGATCAGAATATGTATGAACATTTTTGTCTTGGGAGTTTTTTTTTTTTTTTTTTTGAAAAACACTAGCCATGCCAAGCATGCGTCCTAGTTTGCTTTCTTTTTTTATAATTAATTTTCTTTTATTTTACATACCAGTTTCCCCTCCCTCCTCTCATCCTGTTCCTTCCCCCACCTCCCTTCTACCCACCCCCATCCCTTTCTTCAGAAACAAGAAGTAGGGTGTGCTCAACTGTTTTCATTAATTTACTTAATTTCACTTAATTTACAGTGCAGAACAGCCTAGATTTGCAGCTGTGTGACAAAAAAAGAAAAAAAGAAAAAGAAAAAAAGAAAACTCAGCTCAAAGGCTTGTTGTTGTTGGACATTTTAAGATACATGAGGAAATACTGTAGGCTTCTGGGAATGCATATAGAAGGTTCCTTGGAGGGAGGAACTGAAAGACCCCGTAGACCAAAACGTACTCTCTTGTGACCTTGTGAGCTGGGAGACTTCCTAGAAGGGAGAGGAGAGGTGGAGCGGCCTGAGACCTTCAGACTCAAAGCTGTTTATGTGGTTTCAGTTTCTTAACTTCCCTGAATCCCAGTGGCCTCCCTCACCTACAAGAAGAAGGGCAGTATCTGGCTGATGGGTTGGTAGACTTGTCTTTCAGGAAATTGTAATATCCTCTTCCACATTTACACCTGCTCCTGGTCCTGTTGATTCTACGGCATGGCTTCGAGGCCTCCCTCTGAGTTTCTGTTTGCTCTCTCCTTGGTTACCCACCCCCTTAAGACGGTGTCTCTCCTGGCTCTAGCACCATCTCCGACATTTCAATCTCATGCTGTGCATTTTCACTTAGACACCCGGCTAATGCATTTTATACTTAACCAGCAGAAAGCCCAATTAGTTATTTCTTCCCTCAATTGTCTCCAGGTTTTGGGATAACAGTCCTTTTAAAGCTATCCCTTCACCTTACACATGCTCACATTACTGAATCACCTTTAGGATTGTTCAGCTTCTGCTCAGTTGTTAAACTCTGTGGACTCCTTCAAAATGTCTTTGGTCTGAGCAAGGAAGGAAACCCAAGGGTTTAAAATAATTGCGTGGTTTTCTTTTTTAAGAGTCACGGGTCTATTTCCCTATTGTAGATTCATTATTTTAAAAACTGAAATTAAGGCACTTGCGTTCCCCAGTGTTAACTTTCTGGTGTGCCTCTGGAGTCACTCCATTTCCAGGATCTGCGCACAACTTCCAAATTAGCTGGTGCTTTCCTGTGAAAACTCAACAGTCTGCTGATGACACACCGGCTCCTCGACTCTCTTTCTAGCCTGTTTCTCAATCCTAGTGGCACCTGGCCCTTTCTTGACCACTTGCTCAACCATTCTTCCTTCTTTCTTATCCTTTGCCCCATCACACTGACACTCACTAGTCCGGTTTGGTAGGACCAGTGGGTCTTTAGTCTGCTCTATCCACGTGCCTTCCTGAACTCCAGACCACTTATTTTGCTGTTGCATACCCAGAGCATTCATCATATGAACAGATTATGGATTCTTGGAAGGAAATATTAACGCTTCCGAGTTGGTCTTTTCTACCTGGGCAAGAGCTATGCGTTCTCATCCCTACAAAATCATAGACTTATTTTTACGTATCTTTATGTTCCCTGACCTCATTACATAAATGTGTCATTTGGGAATTGGAGATCTCTATAGGGATTATAAATTGTTCCCAGACATTTTGAAATCGATGTGGAATGAGATGTTGGAAGACACATGGCTACCTTTCAGAGTGCAGAATAAAGACAAGGAATTTGTGTTCACACAAAGCCCTAGGTTCCAAAACTTCTCTTTGAATACCTAAGTCACTGTGCTCTATGCAGAACCAATCTTTGAGGGTTGTCCATTCCAGAGAATGGGCTGGGGAGATAGCTTAGTCCGTAGAATACTTGCTTACAAGCAGGAGGACCCGAGTTCGATCTCCAGGACCTATGTAAACATGCCAGCTGTGCTAGTGCTCATCTGTAATCCCAGCACCAGGGAGGCAGAGACAGGTGTGTCCCTGGGGCTCACTGGCCAGCCAGTCTACCCCAGTCAATAAGCCCCAGGTTCTAGTGAGAGACCCTGTTTCAAAAGAGGTACACAAGAGTACCCAAGGATGACACCTGAGGCTGTCCTCTGTCCCCCACCCCCTCACGGGGACATATGCACACACGAACACAAATGTGCATGCACACACACACACACACGTTTTAGAATCAAGTTAGATTTGCATTCTAATCTGATCACTTCTTAACTGTACAGATTTTGGTAGAAATAACCTTTTTGTTCTCTCATCTGTGAAATATTGACAGCTTTCCCACTTCCTGAAGTTGTGCTGGTAAAATGGTAATGGTACATGTACAAAGCACCTGGAATACAGCAAATCTGGGCCAGCAGTTAAAATAAAATACTCTAAGTTATACATTTGAGGGTTTTGTTCTTTTCGTAGTAATGCTCACATTTTTATGCATGTCTTTCTTTTTAAATTAAGTAAGTAAATCATGTGATATTTGTAATTCTTTCCCTCCAGAGTGTTGTAATTATTTTGGGTGGTGACAAGCATTACTTAGGGATCCACCCATTATTCCTTCTACTCGTTTCTTTGGAAAGAACTTATTACCGAGACAAAGTACTTTAGCACGTGCATGCTCAAGAGTATTTGGTGTTGCTAAGCTGGGTGATGAAGATAGTTTTGGACCCTTTGCTGAGCCCACTGTTCTAGATATCAAGCTACGGTGCTCATTCAACACACATTTAGAGAATTCTTTCAAAGTTTTCTCTGTTTTTTTTTTTTTTTTTTTTTTTTTTGGTTTTTCGAGACAAGGTTTCTCTGTGTAAGCTTTGCGCCTTTCCTGGAACTCACTCTGTAGCCCAGGCTGGCCTCGAACTCACGGAGATCCGCCTGCCTCTGCCTCCCGAGTGCTGGGATTAAACTCTAGGATTTTTTGTTTTTGAGAAATGGTTCCATTATACAGGCCACGTTAAGTTGGAACTTTGAAGCCCAGGCTAGCCTTGAGCCCCAAACCTCTTGCCCAACCTTCCAAGTTTACAGGCATGAGTCACTAGGGTGTGATGTAAACTCCAGAATGCTTTAAATACTGTTAGATGTCAATGAGCGCCTATAGGAGACCCTTTCCTATAATCCCTGCATTGGGCAACACAGTGTTTGGCTAACTAAGGAAGCATGAATCAGAGGAAACACTTGCTGGAAACAAGATTCCTCTTCAAAAGCTCACACTAACCTGCAAGGAACCACGAGTAAACTTTAGGAAAGATTATTAGCGTAGGGTGTAACAAACACTCTCACAGCTGGTCCACCATCAAAAGAGAATTTCAGGTGAAGGATTTCACCAGGCAGGTAGATCAGCTATGGGAATAGATAATGCAGGCTAAGACTCCGCTGACCAGACCCACATACACAATTAAAGGGAAACACTTTGGGGCTCTTTACATGAGGACCTGCAACTTACCTTCCTCTCCCTCTCTCTCTCTCCCTCTCTCTGTGCTTTTGTCAGAGACTCACTGAGGTACTGTGGCTGCCCCGATGGTAACCACATGGATCTGGGGCTTCACAAACCGGGTTGCACAGTGATACACCTAAAATAATCTTAATTCCCAGTGCTGTTCTCAAAGATGTGCAGCTTGTCCTGGGCACGGCTTCACCCTCTGGATTTTTTTTTTTTTTCAGTGCTCCCATGTGACCCCAATGTGTGGATCGCTTTGTGTATCATTGGCTATTCTTCACAGCACGAAACAAATCTTTGTCTTAGGGTCTACTACTTACTTCTAAATATCATTTTATAGCAGGACTAAATCCTAATTCAAGGAGGGTCCTTGGTACATAACCAGAACCAGGACTAAGAAAGCAACTCCTTACCCAGACAAGATCTAAAAAAAACCATCAGTCAAGCTCCCTAGACCTCTGTGTGTTGTTTGTTACAGGGTGCTGGCAGGCTGGCCTCCAGCTCCCTATTAGCTAGCCTAAGCTCGTTTTCTTGGATCACCTCCTATTTTCCGTGCTGACACCATGGAGAGACCTAGAAGACAACATACTTGGTCACCGGTTCCCACCCTCCATTTGACATCTTCCAGCTGAAGCCACAAAGGTCCTGGGGTGTGCCCTGTTTCTCAGCTCCCACTGGCCCAGGAATTCCACCGCGCCTACCCCTCGCTTTGCCAGCACTCAGCAGGCGGGAGTTGGAGTTGGGGGAGTTTGGGAGTCTGGGTGGCTTTTTGATATTCCTGAGTGCTGACTCAGGAGCGAAGCGCCCTCCTTCAGAAGGCATACAGTTAGTTGCCCTGCAGACGTAACTCAACAGCAGGCCCACCCCGACCGCTGCTGGGTCCCCAGGGTGACAAATGCTGGCCCGCCCACGCCACGGAGGGAACGCCCTGTGCACGCGGGCCGCCCCACCCCAAATGACGAGAGCCCCGCCCCGCCCCGTCCCGCCCCGCCCATCCCCGCCGCAGCCGCTCAATTAACCGGGGCGCGAAACCGCTCCAGCGGCAGCCGGACGCCCTCTCCTCTCTCTCTCTCTCTTCTACCTGGGGCTATGGGCCGCGCACGCGCGCCGGGGACCCGGTCACCACCGCCGCCGCCGCTGCCGCCGGGGCGGCTGCTGCTGCTGCTGCTGCTGTCATCGCTGCTGCTGTCCCCGACCGTGCGGGGTGAGTGGCCCGGCGCTGGGCTGGAGCTGCTGCGAGGACGGAGAGGCGGCCGGCCAGGCGCGCGCATGCTCATCAGGCATTGTTACCCATACCCGGGGGGGTGAGGGTGGGGGCCGGCGGCCAGGTGCCGGAGGCCTGCGGGACGGATGGGTGCGGAGTGCTGGGCTGTCTGGGCTGGGCTGGATCCTGCGACCCGAGACCGAGGGAAAGCCAAGAGGGAGGGTCGAGGGCGAATCTGCAACCCTGCTCCTGGTTCCTTTATTCTAAGGCGGAGGCCAGAGGGCTGTCCACCTGCGCCCCTGAGAGTCCAGTTGCCAGCAGCGCCCTGCGCCACGCACTTGGGTGTCGCCACGCACTTGGGTGTCGGAACTTGCGCCCAGCCGCGGTGTCGGCGTGGATGTCGAGTACCTTCTGAACCTCTTCTTCTAAACTTCTCTTTAGGGGGAGGGAACGCTTCCACACAACGTTCATTTTGTGTTGTGTCGATAAGAGCCTAGGCGTTTGCAAGTTCCTGTTGGAAAGGTTCAGCATCGGGGAGGAAGTAAAGAGCCATTGCTGCTCTCCTTAGTCCAGGTCTGGGGAAAGGAAATCACCCAGCTGCCTGGAGGTGTCTGCTTTACATCTGCTCTTCTCTTCCTAGGCGACTGCGGCCTACCTCCAGAAATACCTAACGCCACGCCAGAACTGGGTGGGCAAACCAGTTTTTCCGAGCAAAGCAGTGTGGTATATTCATGTAATAAAGGTTTTCAGAAAATTCCAGACAAGCAAGACACGGTGTTGTGTCTTGAAAATGGTCAATGGTCTCCCATCGAAGCATTCTGTAATAGTAAGTTCTTCATTTCTTTGTAGAAGTGTTAGGGGACTGTGTGTCTTGTGGAGGTTATTTTTACACCTCTTTGGAGTGACTGGTAATTGATAGTTTTCTAGCATTATTAAACCCCAGAGTATACATGTTGGCAGTTCACACTCCAGCTAATTGAAGGCGGTACTTCCTATAGCAGGCCCTGCTTCTTCATTAAGAGTTTTCCTTTCTGTTGTACAGGCTAATAGAGAAAATAAATGATAGATCCTGTTTAGGGAGTAAATTATATGTGAATATATTTGGCAAGTACCTTGAGACACAGGTGATCTGCCTTCTTCAACTTCATTTTGTTAAGTAACAAATATAACTCTTGGGAGACATTTTAAGATTTTACTTAAAAAATCTGTTGTTCATATAGCCCTATGTTGGCTTTAAGATACAGTTTTTTAGGTTGATTCTGGCATATCTGAACACAATACAGAGATTCAGAACTAGATAGTGTGTCTGCCCACCTGGGTTCTCTAGTGTAACCTATTGCTTGTTCTTTTACTATAAACCTGTACAGCATGTTACTCTACTAAATACTATAGGCAGTTAAAGCACATTAGTCAGGGAGAAAGGGAGTGGCCCTGAGGCTTAAGGCATTCCTGTCTGCTACATAGGCTTTATATACACTGTACATGGAGGCTATGCTAATTTTCTTTAAAAAATAATAACCTAGCTTAGTTTACTTTTTGTTTGCCTGTATATTGCTCAGGCTGGCCTCAACTCATGGACTTAGAAAATCTACCTGCCTCAGCCTCTCAAGTATCTGGAATTATAAGCTGGGATACCTGGCCTTTTTTTTTTTTCTTAAATTTTTACACTCTAAAATAACAATAAAAATAGAAAGTATAATATGATAAACACATGGCCTGGCCACCTACACACTTATTACCAAACATTATCTACTCTATGTGATTTCATGTGCTATACCCTCATGATTTTCATGGACCGTGGTTGCTATCCCCAGCACTAGTACAAACATGTTCATAAGAAATTGCATTAGTATGGCTGCAGTGTTGCTAGGCAACAGGAATAGTTCTGCTCCATTACATACCTGCAGGAACCACATTTGTATGTGTGGCCCATCATGGATCAGACATATGGTGCGTGACTGACTACAGAAAAGTACCGTGAAGACTTGATTGCTGCCTTTGAGTAACCTGAGTCGGGGGAAACTACAGTGGATCCAGAATCATTCAAAACTAACTTTTGAAACCACAAGGGAAATGGGCTTTACATTTGTATTTTCAACCCCCATTGAAGGCAGGAAACCCATAAGCCCAGACCACATGTTTTAGAGTTTGTAAATCTCCTACAGTATTGCTTCATCTAACCCTTCAAGCAGCCCCATGAATATGTAAGTGGGGACTCTTCTCAGTTTCAGAGTTGAAGAAATCTTCTACTAGAAGGTAAATAATACGCACAAGACTAGTACTTCTTATACCAAAGAGCCAGGCTTCGAGCCCGGGCCGCTTGACTGCTGAGTCACTGTTCCTTGCTCTATCCTTTGCCTCTCTGGAGTGTATTGTTGCAGCTGTTTACACTTGGTGCACACTTTATGTACACAATTCCTTCATCTGACTCCTTGTTATCAGGGGCTGTTGTAAGATTAAATGAGTAAGTGTGTGTAAAACATTTACAAATATTCAGTAAATACAAGGTATTATTCCTATTATTGTTAACATTTATATGTGGAAACTTAACAGACACCAAGTAACTGAGAAATGCAGGTGAATACACCTGATATACTGCAAATACCACAGTAATACACATGTATAGTGTATAATATATGTGTATATATATTATACATACATATTATATATATTTATATATATATATATATATATATAAATGAATATATAAAGATGGAAAGATCCCTCCCCAAAAATAAGTAAATAGTTAAATGAAAAGGAGGTGGTTTAACTACCAGATATTACCAGATGTCAACTTATTTTATAATCTGTTATTACTTTTTCTGTCTCTTTGTTAATTCTTTTAGAAAGCTGTGATGCTCCAACAAGGCTGTTTTTTGCATCCCTAAAAAAGGAATATAACAACTTGAATTATTTCCCGATTGGTACCACTGTGGAATATGAATGTCGGCCAGGATTTCAAAGAAAACCTTCACTATCAGGCATATCAACTTGCCTTGAGAATTTAGAATGGTCCAAAGTTGCTGAATTTTGTAAAAGTGAGTATAATTTGAATAAGTAATTCCAATCATCTGTATTTGTGGAAATCTCTCTTCCATTTGTGCTAGAAATATATGCATGTATATGTGTATAATATATGTATATATATATTATACATACATATATGTTTGTGCTGGAAATATATATACATATATATCTATTATGTATATATATATATATATATATATATATATATATATATATATATATATATATATATATATATATATATATATATAAAAGAATGATTCTTCAAAGAATCTTGAGTATTTTGTTTCTTTTTTTTTTTTTTGAGGCAGGGTTTCTCTGTGTAGCTTTGTGCCTTTTCTGGAACTCACTCTATAGACCAAGCTGGCCTCGAACTCAAGAGATGCACCTGCCTCTGCCTCCTAAGTGCTAGGGTTAAAGGTGTGCGCCACCATGACCCAGCTGAGTGTTATTTTTTAATTAGACAAATGCTTACACAATAGAATACTTACAGATTTCGTGTTTACTTAATTTAAGGTTACCTAAACTGATGACGTACTCTAAGTATGTTGCTTTTTTGAAGCAACAAAACATTAATGTAAAATTTTAAAAAAATGTAAGGGTTAGAAATATCAATGGCTTAGAGAATGAATTTGTGTATATGTGCCTCATATTTAATTTTTTCTCACTTTCATAAGATATAATTAACAAGTAAAAATCATGTAAATTCAAGGTACACATTATTTCATAGTGAATATCTGTATTATTTGTGTGTGTATGTTTTTGATGCATGCGTTTATGTGCTAATGAGTAGGTATGAGTGTACATGTACATGGTGTATGTGTGTGTAGGGGATCAGAGGATAGCCTTGGGTGTCCTTAGGTGCCTTTGGCATGGAACTTCACTTCATAGACCATACTATCTTCTTCCTACACCCCCCACTCTGCGCCCTCACCCCAACTTCCAGGGTTCTGTCTCCCATATTGCCATTACTGGGAATATAGGTGTGTGCCACTGTGTCCAGCAGTTTACATGGGTTCTGGTGACCCAAACTCTGGTTCTCACACCTATAATAAGCAAGCACTTTATTAACTGAGACACTTCCCCAGGCCCTTATTATTCCTGTGTGTTTGTGTTTCTGTGTGCACATGTTTCTGTGTGTGTGTGTGTGTGTGCACGTGCACGCGTGCGCACGCATGTACTTGTAAACCTGTGCATATGGAGGCCAAAGAACAACCTTGGGTGCCATTCTTCAGGTTCTGTTCACCTTATAATTAGACAGGATCTTCCACTGGCCTGGGGCTTCTCAAGGAGGCTAGACTGGCTGGCCAGTGACCCCTAGGGCTCTGCATGTCTCTGCCTGCCTACTTCTGGGATGACAATACCATGCCCAGCTTTTTATGTGTGTCCTGGGGATCAAAGTCAGGTCCTCGCTCTGACATGGAAAACACGTGACCAGCCCAGCTTTCTCTCTACTTCCCTCCCCCATTTACATTTTACTTTTTAAGTTAAAATAAAACTAAGGTGTTTCAATATGGTATTTCCACACATCATTTCATTTTGCTTTGCTCTTATTCACTCAGGGGAGTGCCCTACCCATCGCCTCCTTGCTGACCCCTGATCCCAGGTCATCTTCGCTTTTTGATGTCATGTTAATGTAGCCCATTAATTTTCCTCATTTCCTCTCCCTTAAAACCTCCTCTTCCCCATGCACTTTCAACATAGTGTGTGTGTGTGTGTGTGTGTGTGTGTGTGTGTGTGTGTACACGCATGCGCGCGCACGTGATTATATGCACATATGATTACCATTACCGTCTTGATCCATTAACATATGCAGTACAGTTAGAATTGTGTTCTGTTTATTTTTTTGATCGTGTCTGGTAATTGAATGAAAACAATTGATATTCCTTTTTTTATTTTTTAGAAAAATCATGTCGTAATCCTGGAGAAATAAAAAATGGTCATATCAACATAGTAACGGACATATTATTTGGTTCAGAAATAAGCTTCTCATGCAACACAGGGTAAGTGTCATCACACTAAAAGCTCTATAGTTAATTAATGACAAAACAAATTAGGAGTTCAGTGGATACTGATAGATTTGTGACCTGCGTTCACTGGTTGGTACCAAAACAATCCCTCATAATGAGAGTGGGGGTGAACAGTAGTGATGCACATGTATGTAAATGTCAGAATGAAAGCTATTTTTTATATGCTATTGAAAAAAGTTAAAAAAAACATAATACCTCTTTCCTACAGAACCTTTGTCATGAGCATATTGTAGTTAAACTTAGTAATGTGGTCCAGGAAAAAAAGATTTTTATACTTCTAATGTCTCTAGATTATTTAGATTCCAATACATATATAATTCTAAATATGATTAGTGAAGAAACAATTGAAATATGTTGATGATGCAAAAGTAACAATCCTTAAAGTGTTAAAAATCAAACCAGTTTTAAACTGACTTAAATATTAATTTGCATCTGAGTTTTTCTGTGTGCAGACAAACTGTTAGGTCATGGGCTAAAACATGCCTAGTGTGAAAGTGTTCTAATAGAAAGTCCTTAGGGCTTTTTTAGTTTTTCAGGTAGAACAAGGAAATTCTGTAATTAAGTGCCATCAGCATCTCAGACAGTGGGAAACTTCTGTCCATTTTCTTTCTACTTCCAAGTTAGGTCACCGCCCTCCCTCCCCACTTCATAACCGAGAACTAGACAGTACTAAGTGGATTTAGTGGGTTTACGACAAGAGCACATGGAACTGGGGAGAAAGGGAGGGAGGGGAGGGAGGGGGTTAGAGGAGGAGTTGGAAAAGGGAGGAAGTGGGGGTGGATTTGATCAAAACATCTTATAGGCATGCATAAAGTTCGCAAAAAGTTTTCATAAAAACTAAATGAAACCAAATGCATTTCAAACTTTAAAACAGAAAAATAAATAGTAGCACTTTGCCGCTGCCTTTATTAAACAGAGATTGAGTTGGGTCAAGAGTTCACATTAGTGTAAACTCTTAGCCATGCTACACTGTGAACCCTTTAAATATAAATGCACTCTGTTGTTCATAAAGCCTGTTCTTTTAGAACCTAGCATAAAAGATTTCATCAAACATGATTTTAGAACGTTTTCTTCATTTATGTATTTTTCTATACAGTCAGCAAATGAAGCATTTTGCATGTCTGAAAGTCTTGCCATTTCAGTATCATTTCTGTGAACTAAATGATTTTCTTTTAAATTTCAATAGATCTGTTTATCAACTGTCATTTTTGTCTCCATCTTCTGGTAGAGTCAGTCTTTTAAAATGATGTTTTGGAGAATTGAAAAGACAAGACTTAAGTATCTGAATACAGTAGCCTTCCCTTCTCCTTTAGGTACAGGCTGGTTGGTTCAGCCTCTAGCTTCTGCTCTCTTTTGGGAAATACCGTTGACTGGAGTGACCCATTTCCCGTGTGCACAGGTATGTTTCCTTTTTAAAAATCGTAAGTCCCCACACTGTGGGGCCAAAGGATCAATGAACTCTATTATTTCTCATTTAAGAACTATCCACAGTCTATATTTGTGGTGCCCCAATTTTTCACTGTGTCTCTTTTATTGACAGACTTCTTAATTTATCAGCTATGGGAGGACTCTTAAAGCTGGCTCTTAGCAGTAATGTCCTTAACTCTAGAATACTTTAATTGAGAATTAAGAACTGACTTTGGTTTACATTATACTTGGTCATTTGCTGTCTAATCATTCTTTCTAATAATCAGAGAAGCAGGAGATCTCCCGGTTTTATGGAAGGCAGTATCCCTCAGAGTCTCCATGGTTGATTCCATTTTCTAAAATAAGTGTCGTTGGAAGGCATTTAATATAGGTCTTTTACTGCAAACATGTTCTTTCTCTAAGATCCAGTGTTGCCTACCTGCCTCTTTTTAGAGTAGGTTATCAGCTGAGAAATTACCCTGAAGGTTTTAAGGTAAGATGTTTTTATCATTTAAGGAATAAGGTTGTGTGATAAAGAAACCATTCTTATACTTGAGAATCTCAACTTCTGAAGGAGAAAACACAACATAGAAATAATATCATAAATGAATATATCCAGCCAAATTTAGGTCCGTTAGAGACATGGCTCCCTTTAAAAATGGAGAGAAGTAAAATGCATGCAGTTTATTTGTTTGTTTGTGTGCTAGACACCGATTCTTTGTCCTAATGTATGCTAAGGCCACTACGTCTCACTAAATCCTAGTCATGTTAAAATGTAGACTTTAGCCGGGCGGTGGTGGCGCACGCCTTTAATCCCAGCACTTGGGAGGCAGAGGCAGGCGGATCTCTGTGAGTTCGAGGCCATCCTGGTCTCCAAAGCGAGTTCCAGGAAAGGCGCAAAGCTACACAGGGAAACCCTGTCTCGAAAAAACCAAAAAAAAAAAAAAAAAAAAAAAAAAAAAAAAATGTAGACTTTATTCCATCTTTCATTCTTTTGATACTTAACTTCCAACTTCTTCAAGTGGCTTCTAAAAACCCTAATGTCAAAATTAATGCTAAGTCCATTTGTGTGTGTGTATGTGTGTGTGTGTGTGTGTGTGTGTGTGTGTGTTACTAGGAGGAGGAAAGTTGAAACGTCAGTCCTTTGTGGACTGACACTCTGGTAGCCAATGGGTGGAATCAGTTGATGTGAAAAAACTCATGGGAAGCCTGCTGTCAGGGAACCCACACCCGTCCCACGGGCCCACCCTGCTAAACCCACGATTTCTGTTTTCTTCTTAGGCCTATTTAAACATTTTAATCATTTCTACTCACGACCATGATTCTGTTCCCACTCATGGTAAAAGGTCTTGTAATGACACCAAAAGATGAGGCTGAAAGAAGAGCTGGGATACAGTTTGTTGGCCCAGGCAACCTGGCCTAAAGCCTGGGTAGGCGGTTTTCCCAGTCCGAAGCTAGTATTTTTACCAGGAGATGTTGCCTTTAGGTTCACAGAAAAGTGCCCATCAGGAATGTATCCTGGTGCAGAAGTGTTTGCAAAAGACCCGCTTCCTGTTTGTGCTGCACTAAGCAACAGAATGTTTTCTTTTTCCTCTTTATGGTGAACACCCTTGTTTTCTTGGCTCTCAGCGCCTTTCCATCAGCAGCTGCTGATAGCCACATTCCCCAGGAAAAATCCCTTGTACCTGAGCAATCCAGTGTTACGACCTCTTCCTGTAAACCCCAAGTGTGAGAATCTATTTTTGATTTCCACATTAACTTTTTGTTGTTTTGACATCACCAAAACAAAAAGTGGAAAGCGAATTCTTTTTATCCCCAAACATAATATTTTTGTTAATTATTTGAGAATTTCATACAGTGGAATTCCAATCACACTCACTTCCCATTTTTCTCAGGTCCACCCTCCCACCCCTGCAGTCTTCCCACCCCCCCAAAAGACCGAACATCAAGTCCAATTTGTGTTGCCCGTAGACTTGCTGGAGCATGATCAAACTCCCGGTGGCCAGCCCTTTCAAGAATACTGAGTCCTCTGAAGTGTAGCTCTTCACAGTTGATGGAAGGCGAATTGTTCGCTGGTGAGCTGCTTCTCTTCAAGTGTGCAGCCTTGCTTGGTACACATACGAGTGAGGGTGCCCTGGTCTCCAGTGTGGCTCTGATCACAGAGGAAAATGACTGAGGGATGATGGGCACATTCAAGGATCGACTTCAGTTACACACCAACACAGGGGGGGTCTTGACTCTGAATTAAGCCTCACTCTCAGGAGATCCACGTTTTCCTTTCTCCCTGTGGTTGCTTCATTTTTTTTAAAAATTAAATTCAGTTGACTGATGTTACCTGCTCACCTTTAATCAATGCTTCTCTCCTATGACTGTCTCCTTGGACCCCTGACATCTGCTCACCTTTAATCAATGCTTCTCTCCTATGACTGTCTTCTCGGACCCCTGACATCTGCTCACCTTTAATCAATGCTTCTCTCCTATGACTGTCTCCTTGGACCCCTGACATCTGCTCACCTTTAATCAGTGCTTCTCTCCTATGACTGTCTCCTTGGACCCCTGACATCTGCTCACCTTTAATCAGTGCTTCTCTCCTATGACTGTCTCCTCAGACCCCTGACATCTGCTCACCTTTAATCAGTGCTTCTCTCCTATGACTGTCTCCTCAGACCCCTGACATCTGCTCACCTTTAATCAGTGCTTCTCTCCTATGACTGTCTCCTTAGACCCCTGACATCTGCTCACCTTTAATCAGTGCTTCTCTCCTATGACTGTCTCCTCAGACCTCTCTCTTTGGTTTAGCGTCTCTGAGTTATTTTTCTTTACTACTTCCACACGCTTTACTCCCGTCTGTGTTACTTCTAATCTAGTTTATTTTTCTCCATCTTGACTCTTGCACTGAGGGCTACCCCTAACATTTCTAAGGCCAAGGTTTGACTATAAAAAAATGTCCCTTGGCCCCCAAACCACTGTCCCCTTTCCTACACCACCGTGAGGATCCTTTGGCACACGTAAGAACGCAGCAAATACTATGTATTCAGGCCGTGTCTCCCATGACATTTAATGCCGACTTCATTGTCCTTGGGATTAGAAGTGAGTATACTACCAGCAGAGACCGCCCTCAAGAACATGGGCTAGCAGAAAGAACCCAGGAGAGGAACCAGCACAAGGAATTCTTGATGTTTGAGTATGTCCTATAATGGAGGGAGGGCTGGTAGGACAGGCTGTTACTGAACACACCCTCTGGGCCTCATCGATACCTTCAGTTGATACGAGAAACCTACAGTAGGGCAGTGCATACCCTTTAAATACTGAGTGCTTACTGAGGTCTGTGTAGGAACCTCAGTAGGTGGAATTCCAGGGTGATAGAGAATGTTTTCTCCTTGTACTTGGTTACTATTTCACTCATAGTTTGCCCGGGGTGATGCTTCAGAAACACAGACGTGCCATGTCTTTTCCTTCTTGAAGCTTGTTAGTATGTCTGAACACTTACAGATCTAAGCTCCTAATGGGTGTTCAAGGCTAACACTGTCTCTCTGCTTTTCTGCACTCAGGTTTTACCTTCTTATTTTACTGTGCTACCCATGCAAATTGCCTGCATGTTGCTGTATTCCTTATTGTGTGTTAATATAAGGTTTTTGGTTCCTGTTGAGTCAGGATCCAACTGTAGCACAAGCCGGTCTCAGACTTGTGGCAGCCGTCATCTTGTTCCAGCCTCTTAAGTTCTGGGACTGCAGTCAGGAGCCACCAGGCCTAGCTATCTCGTGATCTCCTCCTCCTCCCCGATGTCTATTTGTATGTATGTAGTTACAGATGCACATTTGTGACATTCACATGTGCGCACGTGTGCGTGCGCGCGCACACACACACACACACACACACACACACACACACACACACACACACACACGGTACAGAGGACAACTTGAGGTGTTACTCATCAGGAGCTGTGAATCTTGGGTTTTTGAGACCGTGTCTGACTGACCTGGGCTTGCTTGAGTAACCTAGCCATCAGTCAGTCCCAGGGACCTGCCTGTCTCTTCCCCCTCACAGGCTCCCTGAGTGCACACCGCTAAGCCCAACTTTTTTTTATTGTGTGTTTAGGGAAAGCTTATACAGCAAGTAGTACTTCTGACCGAGCTGTCACCCGGCCCCTACCTCACGATCTGGTGATACCTCTCCACTGTTGGTTCTACAGCTAGATTGGTCTAGAAGGTCCTTCAACCCCTCTGCTTGGCCGTGCCTTCCCCATCAAGAGTCATTTCCCTTAGTCGTTTAGGAGGACTTCCTCGGCTGGCTCATGTCCCTGCCCTGTCTTTCCATATGTGTGCCGCTGTGGCAGCCTTCACACAGTAGTGAGCTAACTCCTCCAGTTTCTTTCACCACTAGAGTTTAAGACCTGGGAAGTGTTCTTCAGTCTTTTTTTTTTGTTTTGGCTTCGGCTTCTCATAGAACAGCGCTCATGTATTAGTTGCCCAGAGCACGTTTGGATTGGTCCAGTGGGTGGTTCTTGGTTAATTTAAAATGTGCCATGAGTTTGCTCGTGTTCTATGCCTGCTTCTATACCTCTGAGGCAGCTTACTGTGACGTGCTCATGGAATTCTGTTGTTTCCTTGGTTGACTTAATGGTGCTGAGGAACGTGAAACCCATTGCTCGTGCTGTGAGGGTAGCTGTCAGCTCTTTTTACAGCGTGACGTCACAACAGGGCTTGTACTTCGTTTATTGATGTTTTTATTTTTAATTCAGCTGATAGTAATTTCTGTCCTGTATCAGGTCTCAGTGACTCAGTCTCCCCTAAAGCCCCTTACCCTAGAGGTGAAAATGCAGCCCTTGTGCCTCCGCCCGCAGGTCGAGAACAATTGTAACAGGCGTCTGTCTGTCAGCATCCCTTGTTTAGTAAAGCCGGGCTCAGAAAAAAATGGTTGATTTTAACTGTTTCAAAAGTTTTTTAACGTGTTTTAGTTTTATTTATAAAAATACAGTATCAGTTTTTCTTTATTTAAAAAGGTATTTTGATTCTTTTTAAGAAATTTTTTGTCCAGATCCACCAGAAATCGAGAATGGACGTATTAAAGAGGAAAGTGATACTTATGCATATAGGCATGCTGTCACCTACGTGTGTGACAAAGGCTTCATCCTGCTTGGAAAGAGTTCCATTTATTGTAACGTGGAAGATGACCAAGGGAAATGGAGTGACCTAGCACCCCAGTGCATAGGTAATCTATTGTTTTTCTCCTTGTGTACACACGCTCTCATGTAGTGTATAGTTATGCACACTTACTATTTGGATGGTTTTTAAGACAAGTAAAATCATGTGTTATTTAGCTCACTCATCAAATAAAAATATTTCCTGGTAAAAGACAGCAATATAAGCCGGGCGGTGGTGGCACACACCTTTAATCCCAGTGTAGAGGCAGGTGAATCGCTGAGTTTGAGGCCAGCCTGGTCTATAGAGTGAGTTCCAGGTCAACCAGGGCTACACAGAGAAATCCTGTCAAAAAAAGAAAAGATAGCAGTGTATCTTTCCTCAAAGTGGATATCAGAATCCAATACCATCTACTCTCTGAGGCAGAGTTGTGACTCACTCATTTTTATCGGCTGTCCTGGGTGGCAGGCTCCTCAGTTGGGCCTTGCTCCATTTTCAGTGTTCTTACTGTCTCTGGTGGAGCTTTGGGGTAAAGGACCACCTGGAGTAGGGGGTCAGTCACTCACCTGGGTGTTGCCCTGCCCCCAAGAGCTGAGACCAGGAGCCCAGCCGCCTCTCCCACCAGGCCCAGGAAGACGAAGAATGCATGGAAAGCTCTAGCAGAGTAATAGGGTAGCTTCAGAGAGTCGGAGCGAGGCTCCAGGTTCCTGAGATGTTGCGGACAGTGGCCTGTTGTCTTAGGACTGAGCTTTGTTGCTCTGGTCACACCATCTAAAATGATGCTGCACCAGAACCTGAGTTCAGACACTGGTTGGTCCTCATTCAGAGCTTTGTGTATGGAGAATGGAGTTCTCTTCAATGTATCCAAGGCACTGTGCTTTGTTGCATAATCAACACCGAACCCTTAGACATGTTATCATAAAGGGTGTTTGCTTTGGATGACCACCTGCTTCTGGTCTCTTGTTTAGTAAATTAATATTAGTGCACCCCCCCCCCCAAAAAAAAAGGACAGAAAGAAAAAACGGACCAATCTGTAGTCATCGTTGGAGAATTCCACATGCCTATTCCTATAGCTAAGAGAAAAAAAGAAAGGAAAAAGAAAGAAAGACAGGAAAAGATCACTAAGAACAGAGGAGAGTGAGCCACAGTGGGTGAGGTCAAGCAGATTTGACCTTGAACCCCATAATGACAGATGATCAGTGCTTTTGAAGCCACATTTACCCAAACTGACCATCTGCTGGCTTCAGCTTCGGTGCTGCTATCCACAGCATTCTTTCTGACCACAGTGGAATTAAATTAGGCATCAATAACAAAAAATGGTAATTAGGAAATTGTCAGGAAATTGAAACGCAGTGGGAGTATATAAATCCTTTGGAATTAAAATAAGAATTTAGAGTTGGGGATTTAGCTCAGTGGTAGAGCGCTTGCCTAGCAAGCGCACGGCCCTGGGTTCGGTCCTCAGCTCTGAAGAAAAAAAAAAAAAGAATTTAGTGAAATTAAGAATGATTTGTATGCATGAGGGCCTTGAAATGAATAGCCTCTATGGAAACGTCGCTTATTCCAGTCATCCCATCGTTTGACTGCCTGGAAGGTACTGTGTTATGTGACAGGAATTTTGAGTTGTCTTTTATAAGCAGCCTGTGACATAGATTTTTTTTTTTCTTAAATAAAAGCAGGGAAAATACGTATACCATCTGAACACTTAGAACCTTGTGTCTGGTGGACAGGACAGGACATCATGGTGGATATAACCTGTTGCTTCAGGAACAGGCTTGTGTCCAGTAACTTACCTAAATCATTCTCCACGCTGATGGCATGCAAATCTGCATTGGGATTTTTTAAATTTATTTTACATTTTTTGTTGGTGTATTAAAATGGACACATATTTATACAGCTCTCGGGAGTATTCTGATGTTTCGGAGAGAACGTATGAACTGTATTGATCCAATTGGCCCACCCTGTTTGCATCCCCATTTTTTGGATGAGGAAACAAGTCTTAGTGGGGTCAGAGAGTTTGCTGACGTTCAGCCCTACTTAGTGCTGTCTGGAAGGGGGTTTGTAAAAACACCCCCCAGGAAACCAGCAAGGAACAAGTCTGCACATTCACTAACACATTCTGAAGACAATGGACAGAGCAACTGCTGTCACTGCTGTTATATAAAAATATTCTTTGGTCTTGTTGTGTGGAGAGGAAGATAATTTTGAAGAGAAAATTGAGAGATGTGTCACATAATGAGATGTTACTCCAGCTTTTTTTTTTTTTAACACACACAAAAGCTTAAAAACTGCAATACTGAATTGGCGTGAGTCTCTAGTCATATGTTGATATAATTAATAGCAAGCAAAATGATGTAGCTTCTGCTTTCCTCTCTTACATATATGATTTTTATGTAGTTTTATAAAATCTAGGATCCACTAATGAGAGAAAACATGCAATATTCATCTTTCAGAGGTGGACCTATTTTACCTAGTAATGGTTACCTAGTACAATGGTTTTTCAGTTGTCTCATTAAAAGTAAGACTGTCTGTGGGAATGCATAGGAATGATGGGAGGGTGAGAGGCAGGTGAGTGTTGTCGAAACACATGTCATATTTGTAGGACTTATCTTTAGGAAACTCATTGTTATGTACAGTCACTACACACTAATGAAAAGGGTGCAGCATTTTGAGGGACATAATAAGGACTGGTTTCCTAAAAGTCCTGTCCAGGGGCTTGTGGGTAGAGAAAGAGAATAGTCGTTGAGCATGACATGACTATGAAAGCTTTACTTGGTCAGCAAGATTTAGCTACTTTTTAACCTTACCTTGTTTTCTTTATAGAGAAATCCAAGATCCCATCAACATCTCCAAAACCGACAACAGTTAATGTTCCAGATACAAGAGTCTCACCAACATCTCAGAAACCCACCACAGTTAATGTTCCAGGTACAAGAGTCCCACCAACATCTCCAAAACCAGCAACAGTTAATGCTCCAGATACAAGAGTCTCACCAACATCTCAGAAACCCACCACAGTTAATGTTCCAGGTACAAGAGTCCCACCAACATCTCCAAAACCGACAACAGTTAATGTTCCAGGTACAAGAGTCCCACCAACATCTCCAAAACCGACAACAGTTAATGTTCCAGATACAAGAGTCTCACCAACATCTCAGAAACCCACCACAGTTAATGTTCCAGGTACAAGAGTCCCACCAACATCTCCAAAACCGACAACAGTTAATGTTCCAGGTACAAGAGTCCCACCAACATTTCCAAAACCGACAACAGTTAATGTTCCAGATACAAGAGTCTCACCAACATCTCAGAAACCCACCACAGTTAATGTTCTAGGTACAAGAGTCCCACCAATGTCTCAGAAACCCACCACAGTTAATGTTCCACGTACAAGAGTCCCACCAATGTCTCAGAAACCCACCACAGTTAATGTTCCAGGTACAAGAGTCCCACCTAAACCTCAAAAACCTACTACAGTTGATGTTCTAGGCCCAAGAGCCCCAACAAAACCTCAAAAACCTACCAAAGCAAATATCCCATCTACAGTAGCCCCACCAACACCTCAGAAACCCAACACAACAAATGATCTAGCTACAGAAGACCCACTGACACCTCAGAAACCCAACACAACAAATGTTCTAGCTACAGAAATCTCTTCAACCCAACAAAAACCCAATACAGCAAATGTCACAGCTACAGAAGACCCACTGACACCCCAGAAACTCAACACAACAAATGTTCTAGCTACAGAAGACCCATCAACACCTCAGAAACCCAACACAACAAATGATCTAGCTACAGAATACCCACTGACACCTCAGAAACCCAACACAACAAATGTTCTAGCTACAGAAATCTCTTCAACCCAACAAAAACCCAATACAACAAATGTCACAGCTACAGAAGACCCACTGACACCCCAGAAACTCAACACAACAAATGTTCTAGCTACAGAAGACCCACTGACTCCTCAGAAACCCAACACAACAAATGTTCTAGCTACAGAAGACCCACTGACACCTCAGAAACCCAACACAACAAATGCTCTAGCTACAGAAATCTCTTCAACCCAACAAAAACCCAATACAGCAAATGTCACAGCTACAGAAGACCCACCACCTCAGAAAATGAACACAGCAAATGTCCCAGCTACAGAAATCCCAGCGACACCTCAGAAAACTGATACAGCAGATGTCCCAGTTACAGACATCTCACCAGCCTCACAGAAGTCCACCACAGCAAAAAGTTCAACCACAAAACCAGTAACAGCTCAGGCATCCCACATATCAAATACTGCATCTGCAAAAAGCCCACTCACTCAGAATCCTACCACAGTTAACTCTTCTGCTGTACAGACTGCACAAACAGCCCAGAGATTTGCCACAGCAAAGTCATCACTTACACAGAGTCTGCCAGCAACACAAAGGCCCACATTTCACACCAAGGGTCTCCAGAGCGTTACACAAAGACTCACTTCTGTTCATATTACAGTAACGCAGCGTGTACCTGCTACCAAGACAACCACACATCATCCACCAGGAACATCTAAAGATAAAGAAAGGTCTACCTCAGGTTAGTTCACGTTTCCTGTGTGTGGGTCTGATGTTTTATGATGGAAAGTGAGGACTGTGGGGTCCAACAGCCTTCAGCTAATTATGGTTACAGTGTTCCATAGTCTTGCTATGACTTCACTGCACAATATAACAAAGACGTTGATACGGTAATTTTGAGTTTTGTTAGAGTCCTCGGAAGGGGACTTCAGTTTCTGATAATTTTGTTATATAGTCTTGTTTTTGAGATACAGTCTCATTATGTAGCCCAGGATGATCTTGAACTCTCGATACCCACTGCCTGTGCTTCCCAAATGCTGGAATTACAGGCCTGTGCCTCCATACTTGGCTTGGTAGTTTTTGATCATAGATTATATCGTCATTTATTTTATATTTAAGCTTTTCAAACTTGTTTCCTTTCATCAGTCATATAACAATATATGTAAATATTTGCTTTGTGTTCTAGAATTGTCATGGCTTACAGCGACATTGGTAGCTGTCCAACAGATTCAAATATTAATGTTGATGCTGCTGAAGTAAAGAATGTATAATTGTGTTCATGACATATATATATATATATGATTAGTTTTTTAACTTAAAGTATGCATAGCTAATTAATATATATATTAAGTTGTTAGCAAATTAATGAAAAGTTAAAATGTTTAGTTTTATAATTGTGTTCCTCTCCCCTTTTATTTTTTAGATGGTAACCATCTTATATATGGTAAGTTTCACTCCCAGGGAGTTAAAAGAAATTGCCATCACTGTGGGAAACATAATCGGTGTTTCTGGAAGAGAATTTTATCTTTTAACTGTCTCAGGAAAACTGTAAAATTTCAGTGTTTATGAGAACCTGAGGGAAGATCGGTAAATGAATTTTGTCACGTTTTGTGGACACCCTTAGACACCCAGTATGTTCCTTTATATTCCTACCAGTGCTCTTGTTCTAAGGTGGTTGTAGGACGGCTTCTGATCATTTGGCCAATCAGTGGGGTGCCATTGAGTGCCCGCTGTGTCAGTCTGTTCTCTAGGGACAGAAGAAAGAGCTGTTGGGACAGTGTCTGTCCGACACTTTATAATTAACCAACTCTTTAGCCTCTTTTAGATCTCTGTCATAGCCCAAATGTGACAGAGTCCCACTCTTGATTCTATCGTTCCTCCATCTCTAATAATAGTTTTAAGCAAAGTTCTCTTAAAATGTATTCTCTTCCTGGGTGGTGCACACCCTTAATCCCAGTGCTTAGGAAGCAGAGGCAAGTGGGATCTCTCAGTTCGAGGCCAGCCTGGTCTACAGAGGGAATTCCCGAACAGCCAGGGTTACACAGAGAAACCTTGTCTCGAAAAACCAAAAAAACCCCAAATATGTACTCTTAATGCTGATGTAGTCGATGAGTGTAGAAACATTGGTGTCAGGCTTTTTCTTTGTACAGTATTGTTTACTGTTATTTATTAATAAGATCAACAAACCCCTGAACAAAATGGTAAGAGAAACTGTTAATTAGCAAAGTAGCATACTGAAGTGATGTACAATTGAAATCACCTTTTTATGAAAAGTTGTTAATTTTAAAATGTTGTACTTACAAGTGATATCCCCATTTCATACATGAATGTATTAGCTAAGGGATACGAACCTGAAAATGGAGATTTAGTTTCTATTGTTACTTTTAGTATTTGTTACTATTTTAGCTACTTTTTTTTATTTGTTTAGTATTGTTACTTTTTAAGTATTTGTTACACTTAGTTTATGTTTAAGCTAAGTATTTAGAAATATCTCAGCAGGTGGAATTACTTTATTTTTATTTTATATTTTAAATAGAAATAAATATATTCTAAGCTAACAAAAAAAAATCTTCTGATTTAATGATTTGTAGAAGTGATGAGTTTAACGCCTGAGTTTCCGTTACTTAGTGATATTTAGTGGAGATTTGAAATACTTACTATTTAATACCTTTTAAATAAATTTAATTTTTTTGTAGTGCAGTTCAGGCCTTGTACATATCATGCACAAGCTCTACTGATGAATTCTACCCCTCTTTTCTTGTTTACATTTGAAATTCTTCAAGTCTGTATATTTTTCCAGGAAACGTTTTTTAGGATATGTTGTAATTTACCTGTGTTCTGACAACTCATTCCTGTAGTCAGACATATGGGAAAAGGGTTATTTCTTAAGTTCATCCTGTGAATCAGGTTATTATTTCACTTTAAAGATGAGACTCACAACTGGGAGTGTTTTCAACTTAATTTTTTATTGAATGTACAAAGAAGTGAGTGTCCCTGTGAAATTTTTATGTGTATATATTGTTACACATTGCTCCTAAGTCAGCCTCCCATTGTTCTCCCCTGGGAAAATACTTTCATTGGTTATATGGTAATGTCCTAGAAATTTGCAGTTTTCCCCACATAATTCCTCAAAGTCAATCTAGAAATCACCAGATCTTCTTAATTTGCCTTATAAATGCCGCTGGTGTGACTTAGGGCTTCTGACCCCGCCCCCCCAATCTTGTCTTCCTCTGCTAAGAGTCTGTTCAAGCAGTTTTTCCTGATTTACCCTCCCCATGAAGTATTCATTCCACCCATACACTGTAAATCACTTTATTCTCTTTCTATATGCCTGCACTTTTTACATATATAAAAATAATCTTTTTTTTCCTTCCTGGTACTGCTTCCTATTGACAATATGAGGCCAACATAGTTTTATTGTCCTTAAAGTTAGTATCATCTAGAAGAAAAAAACAAAAACAAAAACAACTCATGCTTAGGAATTAGTCAAACTTGGTTTCAATCTGGCCTTTTTATTTAGTAAATATCCAACTGAACAATTAATTTAGGCCCTCTGAGTCTCAATTTTCTTTTCTATGACACAGATTCTGTGTAAGCTTGTATTTGATAACGGATGTGTTCAATCCTAGCATAGTAATAAGAGATGAGTACACAGGATATCAGGAAGTCACAGTGTGGGATCACCATTCTTTTTCTGAGATAGATTTGTGCAAATTTTATCACTCCCTCTGGCGACATGAAAGATAAACAAGCACCATTTTTTTTTTTTTAATTCAGGTAATGTTTGTGTTTGCCGTGTGGCAAATGCTGCTGTATTTGAAGTTTTTACATGTATATATGTTTTTTAACTTTTCAACAATACTGTAATGTAGCATCCATACTTTTGTTTTTTAAGCTGGGAGAAATGTTTTTACAGTGGATTTTGATCTCTCCTAGTTTTTCCCCTTCAGTCCCCTCCCCTAGCATATTATCCCTTCCCAACTTGATGCCCTCCTCTTCTTCTTCTTTTTTATTTATTAACTTTCAGAGATCAATATGCACATGTGTGTAGGACCATCTGCTGGAGCATGGTTTACCTACGAGTGGCCACACCCACACAAAAAAAGACTTCCCATTGACAAATAAGGTTTACAGGATTTGTAACTTGTCCAGGGTTTCAAAGCTACGTAGGAAGGAAGTAGAGGCCAGTGACTAGGCATGGTAGAGTCTCGTCTTACTGATAGGGCAAGAGACTGCACAACTCAACTCAGACGGAGTACATGGATTCTCTACAGTCGTTGCTTTATCTTTAGTCCGCAGTGCTAAAATCATGTGTGGTAACACTCATACATCTTATGAAGGCTGATAGAGCCATTGGAGTCATATTAAAGTTAGAAAAGAGTCAGTGACACCCACATGTGTACTTACTTTCTTTATCCTGAATATGGAATGCTCAGCAGTTTGGCCCAAACCTGAGTGTGCCTGCAGTAGTCTTGAGTCTCCTGTCAATATCGGAGTGAACGATGCTGGTCTGATGACTCTCGCTGTCTCTAGTCCTGACATGTTTCCTGCTTCAGGTCTGTTATAGCGGGACTACAGCTGTCTGCCTGTTATTCGGAGTTAAAAAGTCGGGAAGTCAGCTGTGGTTGCTTACAGCCTGCATTTAGAATTTTGAAATTTTAGCTTTTTTCTATCACATTCTTTTTCTGGCCACATGTCTCTTTTTAGTGTAATTTCACATGACTCCCGGCTTTTTGTTCTGTTTTTGTTAAGTATGATTAAGAGCAAGAACCAAATCTAGCCTCTGCAATCTCAGTTTTTCATGATGGATTGCATTTCATGTTACTAGATACACAAGTGAGACATTGTGAAAAAATGGGGCAAGCCCACAGAGGATGTGACAAGCACCTTTTAAGGAACATCAGTTGGCAGAAACATGTCTGACTTGATTTTTTTAGCCATGGAAATGATAGTCTATATTTTAATCAGTACCTCATCTGATATACAGTTTTTTTGAATAATCACACATATTTTAAATAGTTTAAAAATCACACGTATGTGTATATTATGATGATGATGGTGATGATGATGTGTGTGTGTGGATGTGTGCACATGAATGCAGAAGTTTTGGATTTACTGGAGCTCTAGTGAACCACGTGTGGGTGCTGGGGACTGAACTTAGGTCCTCTCCAAGAGGAGGGCATGCTCTCAACTGCGGAGCCATCTCTCCAGCATATCGAATATTTTAATTCAAAATGCTTTGAACCATTAAAACTGTGGCCTGAACCTTGGGTTAAAAGTAAGATTTTTGTTGTTGTGGCAATGCACAACAATAATAAAAATGACAACAATGTTGGTTATTTTAGGGGTCTTGATTTTCTCACCTATGAAAAAGGTTTCATCCAATGAAGTTCGATAATGGTTTACCAGGTACTTCTTATTTGCCCAGCATTGTGCTTATTTATTGAAGGTGATCAAAGGAGACAGAAAATCTTTGCAGTGATTTGAACATCACAGAGATGCAGTTCTAACAGGATCTCACCGAGATACTCCTTTTATTGAAGAACAGTATTTTCTAAAGTTACATGATTTTCCTTGGATCTCTTCAATTTTATGAGTAGGAACATTTGAATTATTATTATAATTTTATACATGATTATATACCTTCCTTTATCCTAAGTGGTGTAAGTCTTAAATCAGCAGTTATTTACCTGTGAGTTTGTTTTCTATAGATTACCCAGTGAATTTGAGATCATAAACTGTTGCATTTCTGTCTAGAGGTTTTATTTGTAGCTTGAGAGCTGTACTTTTATTAGTTTACTGGGAGCATGTGTAGGTTTTGTGTTTTATATTTTTGTGCTTTGCTCTGGTTTTCTGTTAAAACATCAACCTCCACAAAACTTTCTCAAGAGCTAAATGCACGTGTTGATCTGTGAACTAGAAATAGCTTTTTTTTTTTTTTTTTTTTTTTTTTTTTTTTTTTTTTTGGTTTTTCGAGACAGGGTTTCTCTGTGTAGCTTTGTGCCTTTCCTGGATCTTGCTCTGTAGACCAGGCTAGCCTCGAACTCACAAAGATCCGCCTGCCTCTGCCTCCCGAGTGCTGGGATTAAAGGCGTGCGCCACCACCGCCCGGCTCTAGAAATAGCTTTTTATTTCTGTCCCCCTGACATTCAGCTTCATGTTCGTATTTTTTATCTTCATTTTTCCTTTAAATTCTAAATTAGACACTGAAGTGATGAGATTAATGAGAAATTATGAGAGGAAGGGAAACTTGAAACTTTTGAGTAATTGTGATTAATTGTCTTTCTGAGCTAACAGTGCAGTGCTGGGGGATCAGTTAAAGAAACTGTAGGTACAGTTCTGTAAAAGTCCCCCTGTTGTGGGAACAACTGCTTCTCAAGTTGTGCACACGAGCACAGCTGTACAACATCTGTCTTTTAGTCATTAGATGTGGTAGCTTTGCTTGCTTTTCTGCCGTCTGCAGTTTCCTTTGTAGTGCAAACCAAAGGAGTGGGGTCTAGGGACAGGAGAGAGTGGGGGAAGGAAAGGGAGAATCGGGCTGGTGCACGGAGAGAGCAGGTGGACCATTTGCCCATCACGGGCAAGGCCCTGCGTTCTATCCTCAGCACCAAAGCCAAACCAACAGCAGCAGACTGAGCTGTGAAAGCAGAGGGGTGCTCCTGAAATTCTCTGTTCGCTGCTGTTCACCTCCAAAGGGCCCTTGTAGTCTGAAAGTAAATCCCGCTCACCTAGATGAGACGGTAGGTGCAGTGGGCAGAACACTGCCAGGCGTACTCTGTAGGCGAAGTCAACATTGTTTACTCTGCGCTTTCACAACGGCGTCTTTCCCGTGAAGGGGAATGCCATGCGTGTATTATGAACGCCACAACAGCCTCTTTTTTAAAACATACATAACTTACACTTAGACTCCAATTCTTTACCTACCGGATGTGAGTGAATTCCCAGGCACCTTCTCACTCTACATTTACATCTCTTGCCACCACCTTGGACTGACTGATGAGCAGAGCACTGAGGTTGGAGCAAGGCTGTGTTGAGACCCTGCACATTTCTCCCAGTGAGATCAGGCCTTCCTCCTGAAGCACCAAGATGGTTCAGAGAGTTTACTTGTTTTTCCTTCCAAGGAGACGAGTGGCATGCAGCAGTATTTATGGCCGAGTCTCTGGCATTAGGAAACCACGTCCAAAATGCAATCCCCATCTCCCGTTTATTTCTTGAACTTGCCTTCTCCCTGTTCTGTACACCATGATGAGACTACAGGGTGTGGAGTGGCTGGCGCTTCTGCGTTAGTGGGTTTCCCCTCTGCTTTATCTTTTGGTGCTGATACAGTAATTCAGACCCCAATGCTAGTCATTTTTTTTTTTTTGGCACTATGAAAAATCAGGGTGAGCAGAAATTTTGATTATTTAAAACATTTATTTTTAGTTCTTTTTTTCCACTTAGATTTGAACATTGTGTTAGTAAATCACTGTCTTAGCTTTAGTCCCCTTTTGGAACGCTGTCTCCTTCCCTCTGTAATTACTACCCCGAAGGGACAGACCCCCCCTCCCTTCCCCAAGTATATTTAAGGATAGTAATGACATTTCAAAGAAAAATGATTGTAAGGTCAAAGTTCCTCTTCACAGTGTATGAACAATTTACTCTTTTTTTTTAAACTGAATTTAATTTATGGTAATATCTATATATTATACAGAAGCAAAGAAATCCAGGAAAAGCGGGCTCATTACATCTTTCAATTGCCTGTGATTCAGCAGTTTTCCACATAGTGTATAGGCATGAAGCGAAGCCAACCAGACCAGTTCTAAATTCTGACTGCCTGCTTGAATCCTGAGTGTTGTGTTTATAGGGTGTGGCTTGGAGCAGTTTGACCTTTTTATCTTTAAGAGGTAAAAAATCAAAGCTACCTGATGGAGTGAGGCTCAGATAGATCATCACCTGCAAAGAGAATAAAACTAGAATAAGCAAATACCCAAATGTTCAGCAGCAGCAGCAGAGGAAAAGCCAATTTTCTTTGAAATATCTGATGTGCTTTGAATATACATTCCAAGTATAAATGTCATGGTTGGCTCATATCCTGTGCACAAACAAGGTGATGTAAATTGATCCTCTTCTATTTTGGAGGTTTAGCTATTCAGAAATCAAATAGTTTGTGTATACTTGATTCCTTCTAAACTGACTTAATTCTTACCTTTTTTAACCAATTAATTAATTTGAGCAACTACTCTTTAGTGCTGTTACCAAATTGCCCATTTTAATGGTTAACTCAGACTGTTTTTCTTTTAACCTCTATAGCTCTTTTCTTGCTCATTAAACTAGCAACAGTGTTTAAGTATGCATGCTTTCTTTTTTCTGCTCTTTTATGTGTATGGGTGTTTTGCCTGCATGTATGTCTATACATATTATGTGCATTCAGTGCCCACAGAGACCAGAAGAGGGCATCAGGTTCTCAGAGACTAGAGTTACTAATGGTTGTGAACTACATTGCTGGGAATTAAACCCAGGTCCTCTGGAAAAGAAGCTAGTGGTCTTACCTGCTTCATCCAGCCTGTGTGCATACTTTTATTGAAGGTTTACAGATTTTAATTTATCTGTAATTACTATACAGTTTCATAGAAAGAGCTTAGGAATCTGTGGATTTTAGAATCATCAGGGATTTAGAATCATAGAATTCCTCCAGCCAGTCTCTCATATTCCCCAGCAGATACCAAGAGATGGCTGCTCTTAAAGAAACAATATTTTCTATTCTTCCAAAATAATGTATATAAAGTATAGGAATATTATTTAAACGACTGAAAGAGTCCATCTTTTATTAAAAATATCTGATCATTAGGTCTTGGGACATGGTGGGGTGAGCTGAGCAAGGAAAATAGTTTTCACAGGAATTTGTTTTATATCAATTAAATATTCTAGATTCTACAACAGCAAATACATTAAGACATACCCTTCACAGAATATTTGAGAACATGGTTGAGAGCTTAGCAAAAATGAATGTAATTGCATGAAAAGTAAAGCTGGTGCAGACACCTCAGCTAAAGGACTTTGAAAAGAATCATTCCACCCGCCTCACGGACTGTCTGCATTTGTCCCGGCTTTTTGTTTTTTACTGTTGTTGAGTCATCTTGTTATAAATTATCCGGCTGTGGACATGTGATGAATGGCCGGGCACTCCCTCTCGGGTTTCTCCAGTTTTTGTGTACACTTTCATAGTCACTTGCTGTGATGTTTTCAAGAGACTGAACGTGCTGGAATGTTTAGGGAGTGTTGTCCTGAATTATAGTGTCTGAAACAGAGAGAAATTCATGCAACCCCCTTAAAATGATGCATTTTTCATGCACACTTAAATAATAATACATATGGCCCGGCATGGTGGCATCCACTGGTAATTTTCATCCTAGCACTTGGGTGACTGGGTCAAGAGGGTCATGGTTTGGGGCCAGCCTTGGCTACGCAGCAAGGGCCTATCACAACAAAACAAAAAACAAAACAAAACAACAAAAGTACCTGAAGTTCCAAAGCAAAGCAGATCTAACCCATGAATCCACTCTCCTTATTTCAGAAGTATAAGCTGTCGAGGGTGAGCACTGACTGAGTGTCTGTTTATTCTCCCCATTTTACAGTTACTTAATTAAAAATGACAAGGGGTACAGTTAACAGATGTGAGGGAGGTGATTATGTACCTTCATACAGCTATCTTGGGTCCATCAGAAGATTTATCTAGTTCCCTAGAAGTGTTGGGTTTATACAGTAGGTTTGTGTTTAGGGATGGCAGTAGAGGCAAATTCTTGGTTATGTTATTTGATTGAAATTTAAGTCATATCCTCCAGTTAGTGATGCCTTCTTTACCCTTCAGTGCCGAGAATATTTACGTTGAGCACGTTAATCCACTGTCATGTTTCCTAAGTGTGACAGGATACCTTTGAGATTCTGATTAATTATGAAAGGTATGGGTGGTTTAATAATACCACATTTCTGCATCTTACAAAATATCTATCAAGACAGTTGGCTTACAGTTTCTGCAGACTTGGGTAATGACGTCTTAAGTTTCTGTTATTGCTAGGGTTGTATTCTTTGTGGAATGACTGGCTAACATACTGATTCTCTCATTACTGTGATAAAAACTTTACTGTTTGAGAATTTTATACATGGATGTATTTTTTTAAGGTTTGTTTATCTTTATTTTATGTGTATGAATGCCTTGCCTGCATGTACATATGTTCACCATCCACGTGCAATGCTTGTGTGGGCCAGAGGAGGGCATCAGCTTCCCTGGAACTGGAGTTACAGAAAGCTGTGAGGTGCTGTGTGGGTGGGTGCTGGGAACTGAACCTCAGTCATCAGGAAGAGCAGGCAGTGCTCTTAATCACTGAACCATCTTTAGCTCATGAGGTTCTTTCGATCAGTGCCTCAGCTCCCTCCCCTCCAGCCCCTCTCGTGCCCACACTACCACTTTCCCTCCAAATTTCATGGATTCTTTAAAAACCCACTGAGTGCACTCAGTGCTGGTACTCTGTGCATGGGCACAGGGCTATCCGCTGGAGCATGGGCAGCCTCTTCGGGGCTGCGTCCGAAGAACAGGGACTTACCCTCTCACAGCATCCCTCAGTTGCCAGGAGCTCCTCAGCGAGGCCCTCCCCGGTCTAAACTGAATTTTCGCTGGCTTGATTTTGTACAAGTCTTAGCAGTGGCTACTGTGAGTCCCTGTGTGTCATAATTAGGAAAGACAGTTTCACAAACGTCCTCCATTGCCCCCAGCTCTGACAGTCTTACTACACCATCTTTTAAGATGTTCTGTGGCCTTAGAGGAAGGACGATTTCTCTCTCATTATCTGTACTTTGACCATTGGTGAGTCACTGTTAATCACCATCTAGTGCAAAGAGAAGCTTCTCCGAAGAGGGATGAGAGCTTCTGATCTGTG